CTAAGGTCCCTTCCGACCCTAGAAACTATGAAACTATGGCACCAGATGGGTTCCTCTTCCCTGCTTGCTCTGACTAGACAGTGTCAAAAGCTGCAGGTGAGCCGGAAGCTTCCAGGGCAGATGGGGGGGCAGTGAGCAGGGATCTGCGGTGAGGGGCAGGGTGCAGGAGGCACAGCAGAACCTATCTGAGCTGGTGGGCAGGACAGGCAGTGTGGTGGGCCCAATCTGGGAGTGGGGGGCACTGTCCAACTCTGCTCCTGCTAGTCTGAATCAGGTCTGTCCCACACCCCGCCACACCCGAGATCCCTGCTCACCACCACCACCCCCAGAAACCCCCAGGTCACTTGCAGCTCCTGCCACTGCCCCAGTAGAACAAACAGAGAAGGAGAATCTGACTAAGACCACCGCCACTTTCTCGGGCTAGACTTAGCCTGGAAAGCATCAGAGGCCCAGAGATGGCAACAGCAGTGCGGGTGAGCCAGGGGACACAGGAAGCAGGGGTGGGAGATCAGAATCTCTGAGCCTGGGTCCCACAATTGTGATCATGGAGCAGGGGCTGGGGGCTCCGTGCTGCCAGGGTAGGGGGACATTGTCCGTCCCCGGGTTCCCATGGTGGAGCCTGCCCCAGCAGCAGGCAGCTCCTGGGGGCAGAGAGCAATGTCCCAGCCCCCGGCACGACACAGCTGTCTCCTTGCCCCATACTCCCTGCCAGCCCCTGGGCTAAAACCCAGGGGGAGCCTAGAACTCCCCCTGGCTGGTGCAGGGGCTGGTGCACGACCAGCAGGGGCAAGAGCAGATTACTGCCATGAACAGCAAATCTGGTCCTGTGTCCCTGCACGTGTAGATGCCTGCCCGGAGTACATTTACTCTAGAGTAAATTACTCTACAGTAAACCTAACCCAGATCATTTGCATATGTAGACATGCCCAGGGAGTGGTATATTTTCCTGCATCTAATGTCTTGTACATGATATATTCTTCGCTGTATAAAAGAAAAAGATAAATGTTTGCCCTTTCTTTTCTTTTCAGCTGAGTTTGAGTAGCTCCTTAAAAGCCATGCCCTGAACATAACAACCTTTTGCTTTCAATATTACCACTACCAGATCCTCTGTTGTTACTGCTCTGTCAGTCTCCATTGCTGCTTTTTCCAATTACCCTCCTGTAACAGGGAGCCTGGGGCTCCTGTTACTTTACAGAGAGTAACTATATCCAGCAGAACGACTTTCAGATAGGCTTGGAAACTTTAGACATTTTGACAAATATAGAAAGTATTTAAAATACTTGCAGGACTTTATAATTGGCTCTGCACATTAGCATATAGGCAAGAGAGTGGAGTGGCAAGATTTCACTACAGTCAGGAGTAAGACTGGCATTTTTTAGGTATATTTTCAATTTTTAGAGCATGCTAGAATTCAGTACACTTTAGAAAGGCTTAATTAGATCTTGTTTGTTAGTTTGGCATTGTTATATGCATTTACTTTATACTGAACTAGCGAGGCTGGTAATAAACAGATACATATTGTCAGAGCTGTATATGAAACTGGATAAGAGGTAGTTGTTAAAGCAGCTGTTTTCTTAAAACAGAAGTCACTTTACATGCAATTCTAGTTGTCAATTATGTCATTGTGTGCCTTCTTGATGAGAATGACTATCAAGGAAGGAAATTGTGGCCATTTATATGCTGGTTTACTCCTTCAGCTGCTTTAAAACAATTGGAATCCACTCACCAATTTACTGGGGGAAAGGTATTCATCCATAAATAGCTCTCCATCATCTTTAATCAATGGACAGGGATTCAGAAGACCTTGCCAACCCATGTCAGTCACTCGAATTGTGGCTGAACCTGGACGAGGGTTTCTGCCAGTGTTCCAATTCAGTTCCATCTCGGCGTCGCCTAAACATTAAAGAACAAGAATTAGTTTTCTTTTTTTCATATTTACTATGTACTCTTAGCAAAGGTTACTTTGACTTGCCCTCAGAGTTAGCAGGAGTGCCACCAGGCAGTACAAATGATTAAACACGCAAACTAAGGGGATGATAGAGTAACACCCTAATCATAACTTCACTTTATATATTCTTCATTTCTCTGCTCTCGTCTCATGCACATTAAATTTAGACTGTAACTGTTTTGGGGGAAAGATAGTTTTGTGGCTCATGGAGCAGAACCAAACTTGATCACTCTAGGAGCCTACATTTTCCCCTCACTTCCACTTCGGCACATTTGAAACCAAACTGGATTGGACACTTTGTCTTCTACAGTCTATATAAAATGCTATGCATACCTATGGATCTATAAAAATAAAAAAATAAATACACAATACAAATTGTAGAAGATCATCTCTCCCCCCACTATACTCATCTCCCTTCTTCAGTGCCAAGGCAGCTTTTTGCCTACACCTTTATCCTACCCAATCCTTCTGAAGATTATAAGTGGCATGCAGAACAGCTCTGATGCAGCTCATACTGCCAGACTATGGGCAAGAACAGTGATTCTCAACCAAGGAAGGTGTTGCCAGATCTTCTGAAGGATGGAGATAAGCAGAGAAACTAAGCAGATAAGTAAAGATTTAAGTTCAGTCGCTGCCTAGACAGTTTCGCTCTTTCTCCCAGGGCTCTCTGCAAGGAACTACATTAGTTTTTGAAATTGAGTGCTATTCAATTCATACAAGTTATGGAGGGGTGCTTCAAATCCAGAAAGATAGATAACTATTGCTGTAAAATATTACCTGTAATATGTGGAATAAATGTGAAATGTTAATGTCAGTCAGCCAGAACTTGGCTACCAACTCCTACAGCCGGAAACTTTACGTGTGTGTGAACATATCTACCCCCACACACATCAATAATGATGCGTATGTGTATATGTAATAACAAACTATGTTTCAAGGGAAGAATGAGATACTGCAGTTTAAGGTGTTATCTAAACTGTTAGTAGCTATCTAAACTGAATCAAAATCAATCAGCCCATTTCTTTTCTTTGACAGCTTATAGCAAGTGATATGAAAATTTGAGTCCCCCGAATTCCAGTTTGCTGGAAAGGATTAAGAGCAACAGGTTTTACCTGAAACAGTGTGGGGCTTTCTGGCTTTACACTGACTTTTTCAGCTACTACTAATCATTTGGCAGCAGATAAATATCACAGCTGGAAATACTACTGCACAAGGAAATTAACAGAAGGCTACAGAAAAAAAACAAATCTTACTCAGTGAAGGAACACCTGCAATTTTGCATGTTTTCCTATTGTGAGGCAATGCCTATTGTTAGCACTTGAAAAGTAATGAAATCATCAGGATGATCATAACAACCTGACACACCTTTGTTTATTGGCCGAGATGTGGGTATAGCTATACTCCCACACCAGTAAACAGACTGAATCAGGAGTACCTTCTGATAGGGAAAATAGTTAATTCTCAGCTAGTAAGTAATGTTTAAAGAGATAAAGTGACATTCATACTAAGGTTTAACCCAGTGATTCTCAACCTTTATAGACTTTTCTGAATTTAGCATCTTAAAAAAAAACAAATTTATGACTGGAAACACATTTTAAACAGGTCAGAATATTTTTGACACTCTTGATTTCTATTTGAAATCTCTGGGTTTATCTTGTGAATCATACCAGCAGTTTACACACTCAGCAGTGCTAACATTGTGCAGCACTCTGTGGCACCCTTAAAAGCATCTCATGGTACCTCACAGTGCTGTAAACCCCAGTTGAGAATCACTAGTTTAAACCAAAGGGACCTCTCACCTCCCTGACCACCATATTAGTCTTCACCCCCATTGCTAGAAGGGAGATCAGAAACACTGAGTCCTAAATGGAATATAAATTTCATGATTTTTCCCAAAGCACATGAACGAATTACGACACTTAAAATGTCCCCATTTCTCCAAACAGTGTGAAGAAATGCATTTGTCTATTAACAATACTGAGCCATTGATTATTTCTGAACTTCAGATACGCCCAACACAGATTAAGAGAGACAAAGTCTGAACTGTCAGTTAAAAAAAATATGGCTAAAAAAACAGCCATATAAAAATTCTTTGTTGACCAAATCTCTCCACTCAGGATTTTCTAGATTTATGAAGAAAAGGATTAAACTTTGTACCATTCTCACCACCTATGTACCCAAATCTCATTTACCCTTACCAGAGAACAACTGAAAGATGAAAATAACAAAGGAAAGCTAGTTTCACTTGGACAAATGACTGTCCAATACCTGACTAGGATTACAGTATCTGTTCTATTAATGCTGGAACACTTGTATGACAGATGAATAAGTAGGACTGCTTTGTTAGATTATTTATAAAGTTAAAAGGCTTATGGTTCCTTTTAATTCAAGCAAGGAAATCACTATCAGGAGAGAGACCTGACTATCGTATTCATTCTATTTGCTTTTTTTGGACCCATGTGGGTTGAGAGTCAGGAATTATTGATGTGATGCATCAATGCAAAACACAGATGTGATAATGGCTAGAGCACCCAAACAACAGCTCTAAAGAGTTAACCCACTTACATAAAATAAATGATTTATCTTATCCCTTCGGTCCACTGCTATTGCATTTCAAAATGTCCTTTCATCTTTGAAACGTATGTTGATGCAGCACTTACTTAAGATTTGACAAGCAGATCAATTTGTGGTTTAATATCTGAAGTAACATTCCCAATTTTATACTTCCTGTTATTGATCTGCAATTCATAATTATTGTAACCTTGGATTAGTGAGGAGAATTATATTTTCAGTGTAAATTGTATTGGTTAAGACTGAGTTATTGTCAGTACAGAACACAAATCTTCTTGGGTACCCTTCCAACTTTTCAAGTCTTTCCCTAAAATATGGGTCATAATGAGGAATAACATTTAAAAAGGGGAATACAGAAGAGACAGCAATGAAGAAATTGTTACAATGAAGTGCAAATCTCACATGGAACATCCAATTAATCTCTAAAGTGAGTGGTAGGATGCAGACACAACTATCACACCTGCCAGCTGGTGACATTTTCCATTATGGTAACAAAACTTCCTTTATCCAAGAGAGAAGGAAGGGGGAATATAGTGGGACTGTAGAAAAGACAGAAAACCATGGAATCTGTGAGCACATTACAGTGCACTGCCATGTGTACAGAAAAACTGTGGAAAGGTATGAGCTACCAGCAACAACTAAAACCACTATGCAAACCTACAGATTCCTTAAAACTGCCACAGAGTTTACTTTTACCCAAAAGAGAGAACGCCTTCTAAGCTCCTAAACCTGGTACGGATACCCTGGTTACATTGCAATTTATACAATAACATTATGTTCTGAAATAGGTAAGGCTTCTCCTGTGCAACCACCCTCAGGCCAATCATTGAAACACAGAAAAGTACTTTGGTTATTGCTGGAGCTCATACCTTTCCACTGTTTTCCTGTACACATGGCAGTGCACTGTAATGTTCTCACAGGCTCTGGGAGTGGTGAGAGATGCATGGGTGTAAGCCTATCACGCCCCAGCACCCCAAAGCCCCCCAACAACCCCCAGCAGCCATGGAGCACCCCGCCAACCCCCAGCACAGCCGGAGGTAAGCAGGGCCCATGGTGGGAGGGACATAGCCCAAATGCAGGGCAGCTGAGTGGAGCTGAGGAGGGTCTCACCCCACCCTGGCTCCTACTTCACCCAGCCCCACAGGGAGCCATGCAACCAGAGCCTCGCGAACAGGATGTGCAAACAGGCACACTTCTGGGCCCAGTGCATGAGTTAGTGCGGGAGTTTGTGCAGGAGGGTGAGTGGGAGGGCCTGAGGCCCTGCCAGTGAGCCCTAAGGAAGCTAGTCCCATCAGTCGCTGTCAGTAGCCAGCCTACCAGCAGCACAACGCGGATGGGCACACGCCGCATCCCAAGGGTGCCCTCGGAGTCTGCGACCCTCGCTCTGGCACCTCAGAGGCCTCCACTCATGGTTCCAGGCTCCATGCACACGGAGCCTCTGGCTCACGGTTGCGGGGGCTACCTGGCATGTTTCCAGGCTCCTGGGACCAGGAGCATGACCACCTCCCTTTGCAAGGTTTGCTCCACTTTGGAGTCTCTGAGGTGCTAGATAGAGGAGCTCTAGGCTGCAGTCCAGAGACTGCATGCCATCAGGGATGGTGAGTAGGAGATAAACTCCTACTGCCATGCCCTTCACCCCCTGGAGGTGGAGGGTAGACCAAGGTCGCCTTCCAGGACAAGGGAGGACTTGGAGATCTCCCATGCTGTCCAGCCAGGGGGTTGGACCAAGGTGGTCAAGGGCCCCAAGGCCCGTCGCACCAAGGTTTCGTCCCCCCTGAGGCTCTGCAACAGGGATGAACCTCTTGCAGCCCCAGTTCAGCCTGCAGAGATGCCAGCTCCTGCAGGCAAGGGAGGATCACCCACCCCCACTCTCCCTAAGACAAAACGAAGAGTGGTTGTCATGGGAGACTCCCTCCTGAGGGGGACCGAGGGGGCAATCTGATGCCCCAAGCCCCTAGCCCGGGAGGATGCTACTTCCTGGGGGCCCACATCCGGGACGTAGCAGAGAGAATCCCAAAGATTATCTGGCCCTCTGACCACTACCCTATGCTCCTTATCCACGTGGGCATGAATGACATGGCACAAAGCAATCCCAGCCAGGTCATGAGAGACTACAGGGTTCTGGGAGTGGGGTTTAGGGAGTTGGGGACACAAGTGGTCTTTTTCTCCTGGTTGTGGGTCATGGGCTGAGGAGGGAGAGACAGGCCAAGGTAGTCGACCAAAGACTGCGGCACTGGTGTCATCATGAAGGCTTTGGCTTCCATGATCACAGTCCACTCTTTGGTGAGAGAGGCAGTGGTCTGCTGGGGAGAGACAGCCTCCACCTCACTCTGCTGGGGAGGAGGCTCTTCTCAGCCAGATTGGCTGACCTGCT